CAAATAAGAAAAGTAGAATCATATATTAAAGGAATAAAGAAAATTTTGTTTATTTTTTCTCCTGGAAATTCCATTTTAGTAATTTATTCACGGTCGCTAATGGCTTTCTTCTTCTTTCCATAACTTCTTCTTCCCAAGTTTATCAATCCTCTGAAACAAACAAAATTTTCCCAAACAAACAAAAAAAATGAAAGAAATCAAACACCCAACAAGATTTCTTAGCAAAATTCCTAGATCAAATAAGAAAAGTAGAATCATATATTAAAGGAATAAAGAAAATTTTGCTTATTCTTTTTCCTGGAAATTCTCGCAAAAGACGTAAGCCTTCTTAAGAAGTTGTGTTTTTTCCTTGAAAAACGCAGAAGATTGTTAATTGAAGTTATATAATGTTAACTTGATGAACACAACTGATCAGATTTACATTGAAAACCTAGGTAGAAAGTAAAGATCTTCCCACAAAAAGTCTGTTTTGTTTGCAAAAGTTTGTTATAATGGACGTAGATGGATTGAGCAATCGAAATTGGGGATATTACGAGCCGACAGTTGCATTGAGCTCGGTTATTCCACAAGCCATTTCAAGTCTTCCAGATCGGTGAAGGAGACGAAGAAAAAAAATAGGGGAGGAAGAAGAGGAAATGTTGGTTTGGTCGACTAAACCGAAATTAGGTTAAAATTGGGAATATTTTTGGTTTTATTATAAATTTCTTTGGTTAAAGTTAAATTGGTATATAATAAACCAAAATTAATTGTGGTTTGTGTGCAATCTGGTTTTGAACTTTCATTTAGTGTACAAATAAGTTTTTAAGTTTCACTCAGTGGGGAAATATGTTTTAAACTTTTATTTGATGGGGATTTAAGACGAAGTTAAAACTTTAGGTGGATCTATTACTATATGATATTTTTTTTTTGTCAACAGTCTAAGTCCCTAGAACCGTTCGGCTAGCCAAACCGGTGGCACTGAGTTTACATAGATGATTTCCTGAGGGTAGACACGAGCACTCCTTGTTAAGTTGTCTGCCTTCAAGTTTTTTGCGCGTGGGATATGTGATAAAGTGAAAAAGCTAAACATCCTTCATCTTCACAATCTCCTCCAAGTGTAGAGCAAATGCTGGCCATTCTTCTGGTGCAGACACCATCTTCACCAACTCCGAACAGTCTGTTGCAAAAGCTACTTCTATCTTACGGTTCTCTAACATGCAATGCATAGCCCATATGAGGGCTTCCATTTCTGCATGCAGAGGCGATAAACTTCGTCTAACATTTTGTGCACCCATGATTTTATCCTGTACACCTTCTTTAAAATAAAACCACCCTAATCCTGCCAATAATTCCGTCTCTTTCCAAGATCCATCAATATAACACCACCATCCATCGAATGATACGGATAATGAGGATTCCATAGAGCCGTTTTGATTTGAGTCCCCTGAATCCTGTTCTAGCCTTTGGGCCTCTTCCCACAATGTCGCTTCAGTTTCCGCTATTTTTAAGGTAATTTGTGGGTCAACATCAATGTTCGAATACACTTTTTCATTTCTTGCCTTCCAAATATACCATACAATCCATGGAAATTGTATGTTTTTTCTGTCTTTTGATATTCTCCAAAAAAGATGATCAAAATTTGAATAAACCGAACTCATTGGGAAAACACCTGGGGATGTTGGTATTTGGGATAGTGCCCAAGTTTGCAAGGCAGGTGGACATTCAAAAAGAACATGATTTATTGTTTCTTCCTCTGCTCCACATCTTGCACATTGTGTGTCACAATGTATTCCTCGCGTATGCAGTCTAGCCGGCACAGAATGGCATCCCGATATTGCTTGCCATATAAGTGTCTTAACTTAGATGAGCATTTCAATCTCCAAGAATGTGCTTGTAGATCCTTAATATTTGGTCCATATTGGTCCTCTGAGCCCCCATATGAAAATAGTCTCTCAGTTTTATATCCTGATTTTACCGTATATTTTCCAGATTTTGTGTAATGCCAACCCAAATGATCAGGCTTATAGGTATTGCTGGTAGGGATTTCCCGGATTATTTCCACATCAAATGGTTCAATAATTGCTCTTATCAAATCCAAATTCCATGTTTTTGTCGCTGGATCAATCAAGTGATTGACCATTAGGTTCGGGTAGTAATTAAAACCCTTACAAGTAGCTGATCTCGGGCGAGAAGAAGGTATCCATGGATCATTCCATACTGAGATAGAACATCCTGAACCAACTCTTTTAATTAGCCCCTTATTAACCAGAGATCTAGCTGAAATGATGCTCTGCCATCCATAGGAAGGTGAGTAAGAACGTACCGGATCCAAAGGACTTGCGTTCCGAAAGTATCGTCCTTTGAAAACCCGTGCGAACAATGAATCAGGTTTATCTATCAGTCGCCATAATTGTTTTGCCAATAACGCCGTATTAAAATCCTCCACATCTCAGAACCCGATTCCGCCTTCCGTTTTTTCCTTACACATCTCTGTCCATGCCACCCAATGCATACCTCGGTGATGACCATCTGCGCTCCACCAATAACGTGCCGCTGCACTAGTTAATTTTTCTGTAGTAGATTTAGGTAATCGAAAGCATGACATGACAAAAGTGGGCATTGCGGATGCCACCGACTTAATTAAAGTTTCTTTTCCCCCTTTCGATAACAATCTCGAGGTCCAACTATTAATCCGAGTCTGTTGTCTGTCTGCGACAAAATTTAAAATCTTTGATTTCGCTCCACCCATACTTTCTGGGATACCCAGGTAAGATCCCGTTCCCCCCTCCCTCATAATTCCTAAAATTTGTTTGAGCTCATTTTGTACGAGCTCAGGGACCGTGTGGCCAAACTGAACCGATGACTTATCAAAAATTGATTTGTTGGCCCGAAACTCCTTCATACAACCGTAATATACTCAAAATCTTATGACATTCCTCCTTGGTTGCTTTGCAAAAAAATAGACTATCATCCGAAAAAAGTAAGTGTGAGACTGATGGACTTGCTCTTGCAATTTTAAGTCCCGTCAGTAATTTTTCATTCTCTGCTTTCTTTATATTTGCCACTAATACTTCTGTACAAAGTATAAACAAGTTTGGTGATAGCGGATCTCCTTGACGAAGTCCCCTTCCCGGAATTATTTGTCCCCTTGGCTGTCCATTTAACAAAACTTTATATTGTACAGAAGTAATGCACTGCATCATCCATGTTATCCATTTTTCCGCGAACCCGAAGCGTCTGAGAAGGTGTTCAATAAAATACCACTCTATTCTATCATAAGCTTTGCTCATGTCCGTTTTGATTGCTATATATTTACTTTTGCAGGACTTATTGGTCGGTAATCCGTGAAACATCTCCTGAGCTATCAGTATGTTATCCGATATTAGTCGTCCAGCCACAAAGGCAGATTGGGTTTCCGAAATAAGATCGGGTAATAATCTTTTTAATCTTTGACATAGTACCTTGGATATGATCTTATAACCAACGTTACAGAGACTAATCGGTCGTAGTTCTGTCATCCTCGTAGGTCTTTCCGTTTTTGGTATTAGACAGATATTTGTCATGTTTAGCCTCTTATCAGAGACCCCAGTTTCAAGGAATTTATTGACTAGATTTACGATATCTGTCTTAATGATTGACCAAAAGCGTTGGTAAAAGAGTGCTGTCATTCCATCTGGTCCTAGAGCTTTTCCCGGGCTCATCATAAATAATGCACTACGTACTTCCTCTTCCGTAGCTATTGCTGTAAGCATTATATTATCATTTTCTGTGATTAGCGGTTTTATCTCTTCAAAAGCTTCATCAAATTCCACTGGAGAGGTTGAAACGAATAAATCATCAAAATACTTGACCGCCACCTTCTCTATTTCCTTTTCCGAATTAACCCATTCGCCCGCCGCATTATGTATGCCAATAATTCGATTTCTTGCTCTCCGTTGTTTCACTTGTGCATGGAAAATTTTTGTATTTTTATCTCCTGAAATGGCCCATTGGTTCCGACTTTTCTGTTGCCAAAATAACTCCTCATCCCTATATGCTTCCTTTAGTTTTTTTGAAACTTCAATCACTTCCTCTTCTGATCGTGAATCATCATTTTGGATTTCCTCTAATGCCCTTTTTAGATTCTCAATTGTTTCCCGCCCATATGATTGAAGATTGTGTCTCCATTTTGATATTTCTCGCCGAAAATTCCTGATTTTGTCCACAAATAGAAACTCTTCTCCTCCATACTTTAGTTCCCAACCTTTAGTAATAGTATCCTTCAAACCGTCTTGTCCTAGCCATCTCTTGTCAAATTTAAATTGTGCCCTCTTATGAGGAATTTTATCCGCAATTGTTGCGACAATTGGTCGGTGGTCCGACCCAATCATTGCTAAATATTCGACAAAGGATTATGTAAATAAGTCATGCCAATTCTCATTTGCCAAGGCTCGATCGAGCTTACATCTAACCATCTTTGCATTTCGTCTTCCCCTCCAAGACATTGTATTTCCTACGCAAGGAAACTCTAGAAAACCGCAATCTTGTATCATCGTATTAAAGGACACGAAACTAGATGCATGTCTTAAAAAGCCACCTTGTTTCTCATGATTTCCAGTTATCTCATTCAAATCCCCAATTATTATCCAAGGTTCTGTACGAGTGAGGCTTATCCTTGTTAAACGTTCCCAAACTTGATCCCGCAATTTTGGAACCGGATCCCCATAAATAAAAGATATAAATACTCTTTTTCCGAGAATTTTCGCTTCAACATCAATTATTCTATTATTTGAAAATAAAATAGTGACATCAAAAGAATTATCATAAAATAAAGCAAGTCCACCACTTGCCTCGCACGGTTCAACCGTGTACATTTTATTATAACCGAAATGAAACTAAAATTGTTGCATAAAAGAAAAATCATTTTTAGTTTCTGAAATAAATAAAAACTCTGGTCTATGCTTTTTCCAAATCTCCCGAAGATAGCTTATTGTCCATCGGCTGCCAATACCTTGACAATTCCAACTAAGTATCCTCATTTATTATGCAGGTTTTGTTCCAGTCAGTCCCAGTTTTGGGTTTGATGAACCCTTGCCAGACTGCTTCTTACGGGGAGAAATCAGAGCTTGAACCATCCTCTTTTTGCTAGTGCCTCCAACGAAAGATGAGCCTTTCATTATCTTCTTCCTATTTGCAGGTTTGTTCCCTTCATTTCCAACCTCAGTACCTTCCATTACAGTGGCCATTATGGTCCCCATCTCACTGTTATTTGTCTCAGAACCCACACCAATGATATTCGTTCTGTCACGTTCAGCATCGGTTTCCCCAGAATTCACCATGATTTCACCTTCTTCCTGTTCCAATAAGTCCTTCACCGCATCTGATTCCAACTGCAGTTCCCCTGGTTCGAATAGAGTAGCACCTTGCTCCACCAATTCACTTTTCCCTGTTGCATCCTCTTGAAAATTCTCCACCATCGTACCTTCAATCTCAAAATCCATGAGAGAGTCATCATTAGCTAATAAATCATCCCAATCATGATCTGTATCTTCTTTGTTTTCCAAATTGTTTTCCTCCATGGTGCTCATCAATTCTTCATGAACCTTTTCTTTCGTCTCTTGTGCCTCCGGAGCTGTTAATCCTTCGTCGTCAAAAACTAGGCTTTTCCTCACCTGTTTCCCTGTATTAAGAACCGCATCTGATGTATCTTTCCCTTTTGCTGCCATATCTGCGGCAGTATCCTCCAAGCTTCCACCAGTTTTATTGTTTTGAAATTCATCATCAATCTCTGCATTCCTGATCTTGGATACACCAGCCGTCGTTGTTGTTATCCGGTATTGTAGATCCTTTGGAGGAGCATAGTTTGTTGGTCTCCCACTTCTAGACGAACCTTCACCATACCGACGGTCTGTTCTTCCTTTGTGGTAACGGTAACTCTCTCCCATATGGGATTGTTTCACCTCCTCTTTTTGACCAAAAAGCTTCCCTTTACCTCTGTTTTGTCCACCATGGAAGTGATTGGAGTTCACCTTTCCCATTTCATGTTTTCCAATGTTTCCGTTAGCCCTGTTTGAACCGTAGTTGACCGCAGCTTTGTAAGTAACAGCACCTGAGTTGTGTGTGGAGTCATCGTAGTGATCCTCTTGCACCTTCCGTTCCGTATACTCTGCTCGGTTTGGGCAGATCTTCTGATCATGACAGAGGCTGTAGCAGATTCTACAATAACCAAAGAGTTTCTCATACCTCAAAAAAACCGTAGTTTCTTCTCCGCCATGAAACTCAACCACTGTTTCAAAGCATAGAGGCCGCAAACCGTTAATCATGACTTGGACTTTGCCATCGTCCAAATTCACCTCCTTGACGTCTCCTAGAGCTTTCCCGATGGTTCGGAACGTCGGGTCAGCCCAGAAGTGAAGTGGTACACCGATGACTCATACCCAGAACATGATCGCTGAAGGATACGACGGATCGACAATTGGTGTCCACCGAACAATCGAGAGCATCCAGTAGTCGAAGTGGAAAGGCTCCATCTTCATGACCTCCTTAATGTTTTCTTCACTTTCAAAATCAAACTGAAATCTCCCAAGTCCCAGATCCGCACCAGCTACCCTCTCCTCCACCTTCCAAATTCGTGGCAACATGTATAGAAGCATCTTCATATCTTGCATCGGTGAGTTCATACACCGACCAATCAAAGTCTTGGAATATTCTTCTATAAGCCCCGAGTTGTCAAAGCGTGGAACCGTAATCTTCATTCTTTTCAAAGAGACCTCAACCTTCTTTCCTGTTGCATCGTGCCTCACCAAATTGCTCTGAGTCATTTTTTGATACCGTAGAGAGATCTCGATAAAGACAGATAATATGAGTAAAGGTTGATGATTCTGTGTTTGATGGAGAAGACTAGCTTCTCTTTGCTTCTTTATATAGCCTCTCGTCTCTCTTAATTTTCTGATACTAAGAAGATCTCTTTTTTGAAATTGTGACTCACCATCTAGATATACTGATATCACTTTTGGGAAAGCTAATATTTGTATGACCTTCCCTGCATTAATCTCCGTGGGTTTAAATCTTGATTTTTTCTCCCGTAATTGATTCCTTCCAATCGTATTTGATTGGGATTCTGTGAAGATCTGTTTTGAATCCTCCCTCAATGTTTTACCGCATCCAATCCCGACGCCCAAACCGAATCTCTTGGATTGCAGATCGTTATTTCCCTTGATTCCATTCGAATCAATCATATCACAGTAGATCCAGACTTCAAACGTAAAGGAAATAGAGTTTCTATGACTCCCCTTTCTTTCTATTATTTGCAGATCTGACTGCAGAAAACTCTCTCCTATATACCAGCCCATCTCTATTACACCGCTAAGATCCCTCCATCGAATCAATTGAACAATCCATATAAAAGTTGCCTCCCATACCGATAACAGATACCATAATCGATCCATCCTTCTATTACAGCCAAAGAAAAATCGTTATCGCCATCCTGGTTACTCGATGAAAGGAAACCTTACTATATGATACTTCCGATGGGGAAATACGTCGTTTTCCCTAACTTTTAATTAACATGTTTGTTATGATGTATTGTTAATGTTGTATGGGCCTAGTTGGGCTACAATATACTTCTAGTTTGCTCAAATGAAATGGATGACAAAAAAACCAAACTATTAAATCCAACACCCTCTTTTTCAAAGACAAGTGATAGGAACTCCTAATTGTTAACCAAACAGCTCTCTCATTTCATTCCCTTTGAATTTATTTTCTTCAACGAAAAAAAAATAGAAAGACGATACATCAAATATGAAAAAAATATTATAAAGGGTGTGGTCCAAAATCATAAGATTTCATCTTTTTATATTTCTGCAACCATATATGAACTGTGGATAGAGAGGAATGCAAGGCGGCATGGTGAACTTCCTTCCCATCCGATGAGACTGGTAAAACTCCTAGATAAAACAGTTCGTAATCGGCTTAGCACCATCCGACTTCAAGGGGATCGATCATTTGAGGATAGCCTCAACTTTCTGTTTTCAACTAGTGAATAATGTGCAGAAGCTAAGTTTTTTTCTTTCTTTGATAAATCTCAAACTCAGAAACACTTGATGTAAAATATGAATTGATTGAATACAATTTTATATTCAATTAAAAAAAAAAAATTATCAAACCAATAACGTGTTTATTGTTATAAATTATTAATATGTATGCCCATTATAAAACCTATATTATAAAGAGGTTTAACATAAGAGTCCCACATCGGTAGATTGTGGGCATAACTAAATCTTTGTATTACCTCTCATTATTCATGGAATAATATACACCAGTTTTCTCTTTCTCTTGATAGCTTATTCACAACATGGTATCAACATGATAGTCTCTAGATGTTTTTCTTACCCTATAAAATGTGATACTTAGTCTAAAGTTTTTTTTTCTAGGATGGTAAGTTATACGTTTCCCGAATTCATCTTTATGGTAGTCTATGCCTTTACGATTTTGATCATATGTTAGACTCTGTTTCCTCAAATCATATTTATATAAAAAAATGATCGATGTTTATCTAGAATAATAATTTGATTGTTTGATCTTTGTATTTCTCATTAAAGATTTTATAAAATATATTAGATATTGAGATCTTGTTATATAAAACAAAAATGATTTAATCTGAATCATATTAGGGTTTTATGAGTTTAATCAAAATTTGCCCTAAAACCGATAACTGATTTAACTGGTTTCCCCATCGAGATAAATAGTACTGCACATGCATTATTGGGATTTTAATCGATCTAGGACTAGCTTTTCATGCTTTGCTATGTTTTCATAAGCACAAGCCATTATCGAATTGGTAATTATACTGAGTAAATTATAATACCGACTCATGCTTCAGATCGTGTTTTCATAACTCAACCTACATGAATTCAATTATGATTCGATTGTTTGATATTTTGTGATTTATTGGTTATTATTTTATTGACTTAATCATCAAGACATGCTACACAATAGAACGAAACATGATGCATTTCTCTATTGTTTAACTATATGTGCTTTATTATTTGATTTGATCCGTTTGTTTCATACCCTCAAAATTTATTGCTTGGTTTAATAAATCGATAGTTTGGGTTGGTTTAGTAAATTGTCTTATTGCTTCGTTAATGAATCATGCACATATGAGTTACCAAAATCTGTTTGTTTGATTAATTCCATTTGGTCAATATTATCATGCTAAATTGGTTAGTTCAGAAGAGCATCGGTTTGAATTGGTATAGATAATCATTTGTTTAATTAGATTTCCTCAAGCAACTTTGAATCATTTTTATTGCTTGATATATCTAATTGTTTAGAATTTTAAAAGTAATGCTAAATGCTTTTTAGGGTGTCCACATAAAATTTTTAAAAATAATTATATTGGTCTACATCAATATTCACGATAAAAAAAATATTTTATTATTTAAAATTACTATTATTTTTAAATAAAGACGGTTAAAGAATAGCCTATACTCCACATAGCTTAGTTTTACGGTGTCAGATAACAACTTCTTAGCCACTTTGCTTCATAAAGATCCTTCACCTGCAAGATAATGAAAAGACAAGTAAGTTTTGGAGGCTAACTACAATATCTGAATTCATCATCAAAAGTCCATACCCATGACCATAAGCATATATACCTGTAAGAAACCATCCCATGCATGTAATCATCAAATGGTAACAGTTGCGCAAACATCAATTGAAGCCAATGACTCTGGCTGTGGGACTGTAAGCACAACCGCTACTGATTCAACCTTCCCCGAAATCTCACCTCCTTGCCGTCTTTCCAAAGCAATCTCTACGCACCAAATCTCTCTTTTCCCTTTATTCAAAAAATACCAATACTCATCGGGTCCCAGAATCACCAACTTCCCACCAAAATTCGCCATTTTAGAGCTGTGAAGAAGGATATTAGCCGGAAAACCTTGTAAACCAGTCAAGGGTCTCCAAATCTTCTGCTTTGGATCATAAATGATTATTGGAGATGCACCAAGCCCCCGTTGAGGATTAGTGGAAAACAACAAACCATCAATCACACAAGAAGACTCTTGCCAAAAAAAACTCATAAATTCTCCTGGCATCACGTACTCTAGTAAACCTCCTTGTTCTCCGGGAGTGTAAGTATAACACATTCTTTCACCCAAAATGTAGATTTTCTTCTCCATAACCGCATATGTCACAAACTTGCTACTCACGTAAGGTGGTATGCCTGTTGTCCACCTGCCTCTTATCCAAAAGTTACCCTTTATATCGAACGTTTCCATCCAATCCATAGCTCGCATCTCACAGCCTCCGACTATGAATATCTTCCCGTTGAACACTCCGGCCGCTGCGCCGCAACGAGCCACTCGCATACTCGGGAGGAAGCGATAAGTGTGGAATCTGCAATCGATGACAAACACAACATTTGTGCGTGTTAGGCCAACGCATCCACCAATCACATACATCTCGTGCCCGATTGTGACCACAGCAGATCCCCAAGGCATGGGAGGGAGTGAGTCGATTTCCAGCAACCTCACAGAAACCGTGTTCGGCAAGTTACTGTAGGGTTTCCTATAGAGGATACACCACCTAGGGCCTCTGAGAAAAAGAGTGGATCCCACGCAAGCGTAAAGAATGGGTTCGGTAGCGCCAAGGCGCAAGCGCAAGTCGTGGAGTCTCGGAGTAACGATGAGGCCACGAAAGGTTTTGGAGACGAGAGTTAGAACAGGGTAACCACGTCTCCTAACCTTTGCCAAAATTATTTCGGCGATTCCGTCTGGAATGTGGAAAGAAGTATTTTTCTCGACTTTTTTTCGTTTATTCTGGAGTTGTTGCGAGTTCTTGTTTGTACCTGGATCGCCGCAATTAAAGTCGTCGGAAGTTTCAGTGATTACAACCATCGTCGTTTGAAGTCAGTCAGCAGCGAATCCACGGGAAGCGAGCCTAATTCAAGTATCTGAAAAGAAGTAATTTTGTTAGTGTATTTTATAAGTGAAATGAAAACATTAAAATTTCATTTCACTTAGTAAATTATTCTCTTATTTCAAGATTTCATAAAATTCTTAAATCTCGTTGTAATTATACATTATCATTTTTTTTCTTCACATATTTGTTTTTCAGAAAAGCTCTGAAAACCTTTTAATATTGGTTCCTAAGCTTTTCCAAACCGTTCTTGTAAACATTTTCCATAATATTTTTTTATAATGTTTTTCAAAAGATCTGATATTTTAAAAAAGGATCGTGTTGAGAAAAAATAATTTATGTTGGGGAAAAAAGAAAAATAATCTCTTAAATAATTTTTCAGTTATAAATAACTATCCACATCGATTTGCTACCACTACATATTCAAATTTTATATGGATCCACTTATATCCAATCTAAAGCCGCCTAAAAGAACTAAAATTTAAAATAATAATATAAATTACTATAAAAATCATATACATAATAGAAAAATAAACTAAAAATATCATATAAAATTTTTCAAAACTAATTTTATAATATTCGTTATAAACATATTAAAAATACAGAAAATTATATATAAATCGGATCTAGGTATGCTTATCTTTGAATCAAAATACATAGATCCAGATTTTTGAACCTTTGAATATCTTATTTTTAGCCTTGATCAGATCAGATCTCGGATCAGATCTCATATATTTTGTCAGTTTTAATTAGCGATAAAACAATCAATTGATGTTTAACTAATTTACTTATAAAATATAAATTATAATTTTCTCTGTACTATTAGAAACAAAATTTTCTTCAACTATATAATCAGCCTAAAAAAAAATTAAAAAAAATAATTGCTTACCTCGAAGTTATTATTGCGCGCGTCAGCACAAACAATACTGATCAAAAAGGGTTTATATATTCTTTGTGTTGTTCAGTTGTAATCGGAATCAGATTTCTGGAAATTCACCGATCTGAAAATTACAAGTTTGAGTTATGAAAATGAAGAGTCGAAAGGCTTTATCGACGTTAGTTTTCCCTTACAATTTTTTTTAGTCAACACAAGTATTTATATCTTTTGGAAATTATTTTATTTTGCTTAAATTTAGTTCCATGTTTATTAGATTTTAATTTTCAAACATTTGTTTCCATATTACTAAAAAAACAGGAAACTTATTAATGTGTTTTTTATTTTTATTTTTAAATTCATTTCATTAATACAACTAAAACAAAAGTGCTTACTCAAGGTTACAACAAACCAACAATAGTTACAAACTCATAATCGAAAAACCAAATTGAACCATAAAGAACCAAACCCCATTGTAAATTATGACTAATTTTTTTTAGTCAACACAAGTATTTATATCTTTTGGAAATTATTTTATTTTGCTTAAATTTAGTTCCATGTTTATTAGATTTTAATTTTCAAACATTTGTTTCCATATTACTAAAAAACAGGAAAACTATTAATGTGTTTTTATTTTTTTTTAAATTTCATTTCATTAATACAACTAAAGCAAAAGTGCATACTCAAGGTTACAGCAAGCCAACAATAGTTACAAACTCATAATCGAAAAACCAAATTGAACCATAAAGAACCAAATCCCATTGTAAATTATGACTAATTTTTTTTAGTCAACACAAATATTTATATCTTTTGAAAATTATTTTATTTTGCTTAAATTTAATTCCATGTTTATTAGATTTTAATTTTCAAACATTTGTTCCCATATTACTAAAAAAACAGGAAAACTATTAATGTGTTTTTATTTTTTAAACATTTTCATTTCATTAATACAACTAAAGCAAAAGTGCTTACTCAAGGTTACAACAAGCCAACAGTAGTTACAAACTCATAATCGAAAAACCAAATTGAACCATAAAGAACCAAACCCTATTGCAAATTATGCCAATTGGGAGATAGCTGGCGAAGGTCCAGAAGAGATCTTGGATGAAAGATGATTTTGGATGAATGAGCCCCAAATTTAAGAGGCCCAGAGCAGCAATCAGAGCAGGACCCAGAAATTCTTAGGGGAAGATCAATCGATATCTTCAACGATGGAATATAAAGAACAACCAAACAACCAATATTGCATGCAATCACTCGCCACAACAGGGTTCACAGACCTGAAGGATGAGATTTTGTTCTTAATGATGATAGAGAGCTGCAGAATCACCGAGTCAGTGGTTCTGTGGGAGTTTCGATGGAGCCAACAATTACACTCTCTCCATATTTCATAAATCGCTGCTTGCCACGCAAGCTTTGAGAGGTAAGTGTTATGATTATTTCCTGCAATTGTAGAAATGCTGTTAACCACACAAGATCAAGAATAGCTGATACTGGAGATTCCAAACTTCTACAATTGTATGAAATATTATTCTAATAATTATTATATCGTGCTATATTATTACAAAAATATAAACTTCTAAACACAATAAATATAAACTTCTACAATGTAGACTTGTTGGCAAACTTCGATAGTTGGATAATGATATTGTGATCTGTATCGTTAATAAACCCATAAATTTTGATAGTTGGATAATGATACTTTTGGAAAAACTCATCATTTGATCAACCATGACCATTATTGCTATGTGCATCAATATTTGCTGATGTACAACATTCCAATACTGCAGATCTTTAAATTGCAGTTTGTTTCAGTGTGTATTTTTCAGACACTATTATAATTTTGTACTCGATTTACTTTATGTTTAGTAAAAGTATCGATTATGGAAAAATAGAAAAACCATTAATGGAAAAAGAGAAAGAGTATCAATTCTGAAGCATAAGTAAACCAAAGTGTCATTAAAAAAACATTTAATTAGTAAAAGTCTAAACCAAAACAAATAAAATAAACTATCGTTTCCTTACATTCTGAAAGACAGGACCTTGTATACAACGTTCAAAGTATTGGTTTGTGGCTTATGTATAGTATCCATTATCAGAATCTTCAAACCAACTCTCGAAGTAACACGTGATATAGCCACATAAAATTGTCCATGGAAAAATACGGGTTTTGGTAAATACAGTCCAACCTTTTGCAAAGTCTGTCCTTGGCTTTTATTGATAGTCATTGCATAGACGATAGCTACATGGAATTTTCTACGCCTCATTCTAAAAGGAAATTTTGTCTCGGTGGGGGAAACAAACATTCGTAGGATCAAGACCTTTTGACCAATACACTCACCAGTTATGTGGCTGGCTTGAATAACATGTTTGGCCAATTGTGTTACCAAGGATCTTGTTCCATTGCATAAACCACCTCTAGGGTCAATATTTCAAAGCAACATAATAGGTATTCCTATTTTTAATTTTAATTCATGATTTGGCAATCCTGAGATCTTAATACTATTAAGATATGATTGGGCACGGACATAGGAGTTTCAGAAACGTACAACAGAACTTGATGTTATAAACTAACGACTGAAGAGTATTAAAAAAATCATTTAAAACATAGATGATAAAATAAAATAAATCCCAAAGTAAACACCATCCAAAATTTAAGACCAAAATGCTACTAAATAAGTGTATGAAACTCACAAACCAATTGAACTAAAAAAAAGGGAATTTTTCGTCTCCACATAATCGTTTTTCATCTTCTTATTTATATGTTGGTTTTTCTTCTAAACTGTCTTTTTCTTATCTTTCTTTATCGTTTTCCACCTTTATCTCTCCTTATTCTCTCACGTCTACTTCTTAATTTTTTTTTTTCTTTTTTTTTCTTCTTCCTTCTCCTCTTCATTTTATATGTCTTTTATTACTTCTTATTCTTTAAGATTTTTTTTAGTCACGTCTTCTTCTTTTTTGTGTTTTCCACATCTTTTCCTTATCTTCTTCCTCTTCTACTTCTTCTTCTTCATCATC